TATAATGCAACGACATTTCTAAAAAACCATGTTTGTGGCTTATGTATAACCAAAAATTTTACACACACACTCTCTTCATCTCAATAATCAATTCTAAAAACAAAAAAAAAGTTCAATTTGAACCCTAGATATGGTCAAAATAAGTCCCGTCCAAAAACGAATCTAGACCATTCATTTTGTAAATTTCAATATCCTAGCTTTTATAAACTCAAAATCAATTTTTTTTTTTTTTTTTTACATTGTTCATCTAATGATAATAAAGCCATCTAAAAAAATTGGAAATGAAACAAATCCTTCTAAGGCCTAAATGATCTAAGCATCTCACCAAAACGAACAGCCTATGTTAATTAAGCTAAAAAAATACTTTCTAAGTTGTGTTTTCAAATTATTTTTTTTTGTGATTATTCATTAAAATGAAAAGAGTGCATATTTCAAATTTTGGATAAAACAAATGGTCATAAGATAGTTTTTTTAAGGTGGTTGCTTCAGTTTTTTTAAGGGGGTTGCTTCATTTTACTATACAACAGTTGTATAAAATCATTACCCATATATATATATATATGGGATTTTCTAGAGTTAACAATCTCTCAAATAACATAGATTCTAGTTAGAGACACTTGTGAACCACATTTTTTCTTTTACTGTCTCTATATTACTTGAAGACCAAAGGATACATAAGAGCCCTTTGAATTTTTACTTCCAAATTTAAAAAAAAAAAATATTTTAATAAAAAAAAATTTTGAATTTTGGAATTTAAAGCTCTCACTAACGTACCTTCCTATTCTCTCTCTCCTTATTGTCCCCCATTCTATCTCTCGATCTCTCTCCTTGCCCTCCCCCATCCTCGCTCTCTCTTGACCATAAACAAAAATGCCCCCGCAAACATGGAAGAGATGGGTGATCAGCATTTTGGTAGAGATTTTTCTTATGTCTCTCTCTCCCTTTGCTGCTCCAAGGTCATTGCTTGCATACGGGATCAATCACACAAGGCAGGGATAATCTCCCCTTGCTGCTCCAAGGCCATCGCTTGCATATGGGGATCAATCACACAGAGTGTGGATAAAGGTTCTTTATTAAATGCAAAACTTTCAGAAAAATCAGTGAGTGATTGGGCAATCACTTGAGATTGTTTTGGACTTAGTTTCGGAGATTTTTGGGCAAGTAATACAGGATTTCAAGGATAGATATAAATTAAAATTTTATTTTGCTGCAAGTGAAGGGGATCACAGACGCCTCTCTCTCTCTCTCCTTGCTGCTCTGAGGCTCTGATAAGGTGTGCAGCAAAATTGAGCAGGGTTGGACCCTACAACTCGAATGCCCACCTGGCCAATCCATATCGGCTGTTGAGTTTACCTTGAAGTCCAACGTGGGTATTTCAAAGAGGATAGTTGCGACATTGAGAGTGCCCCAAGATCATTGAATCAGCATAAAAAGCACCCCAAGATCATTTCAACAGACATCGCATATGGAAGAGCTTAGTTTTAAATGAAATTTCATCATTAAATGCCAAAATGAAAAAACACCCACAAATTTACCAAGGTTGAACCCTGCTTCCTGCCCCACAAATTTTCCAAACGAATTTATAGAGAAAAATGGCTTCAAAGATATCATAATTTAGAAATGAGAAAACTAGGGATTTCAGTCTACAAAACATAAAGACTCTACCTGAAAAGTGTGTAGTAAATAAAAGACAACTATAAGCCTCGAGAGGATAGGGAAGATGAACAAGTTATTTCTTCACAGACAGAGAGAGTAGGGAGGGGCTTTTGCGCCCTGAGTATTTTTATTAGAAAGAGAGAGACGGCAGGGTGAGAGAAGGGAGGGAGTTTTGCGCAAGAGGTTAAAATTTTTAAATTTCCCTCGGTTTTTATGTTTTTTAGAAAATCATTGACGAAAGTGCCATTTTATTTAAGGTTTGTCACAATGAAATATAGGGGTAGTAAAAGAAAAAATGTGGTTTACGGGGGTCTCTAACTGAACCTATGTTATTTGGAAGTTGTTAACTATATATATATATATATATATATATATATATATATATATA